ATGGCTGACCCATCAGAGAGGTGAAAGAAAATAATTTTCAGAGAAACTTCTGTTCCAAAGGACAAGATACCAATTCAAAATATTTGTATTTGAGAGTTTTTTTCTGTTTCTTTTTAAGTGAAAACAGAACAAAGAGCTATTCTTGGGAAAACATTAAAAATTCTGACATGAGCTGTCTGGTTTTACTCCCAAACAGAGCATTTTGAACCCCATCAGAGAGGTGAAAGAAAATAATTTTCAGAGAAACTTCTGTTCCAAAGGACAAGATACCAATTCAAAATATTTGTATTTGAGAGTTTTTTTCTGTTTCTTTTTAAGTGAAAACAGAACAAAGAGCTATTCTTGGGAAAACATTAAAAATTCTGACATGAGCTGTCTGGTTTTACTCCCAAACAGAGCATTTTGAACTTTTGATGAGCTGTAAACAGATCTATTTCCAGGTACTGGACAGAGCAGAGATTTCATTTATCACTGCTGTCCTTACTAAGTATCCCTCAAATCCACTTGTGTCTGCCCTGTTGATACACATGGTTGTCTTTGATAACTCATACAGGACTGATAGCTGCAAAGTGCACATCCATTCCACTATCATAGCGACAGCGCCTGACGTCAAACAAGCTCCTCTGTCCTTGTTCAGACACTATTCTGTTAAGAGCTCAGTAACTTTTTTCTTTTTTTGCAAGTAAGTATGAAAAAACCCCAAAACAAAACCTGAGCCAATTAGCATAGCATTGGATTTATGAAATGACATTTTGCTAGCCCATGTTACAGAACAGTCACTGAGCACAAAGGATTACATAAGTATAAGAGCCCCAAGTTTCATTTATCTTAATAAGCACATTATCAGCTAAGCTCTCCTCAAGTCTAATTGCGAGTAACTTCCCTCTAGCAGAAAAGCTTTTCTTGGTTATGAAAGAAAAATGTCACCTGCGAAGATGAGACTTCATGTTAACAACTGAGCACTATTATTTCCAATATTTTCTGAATTTCAGTGTCTCAAGAGGAATGTGTTTAAGCCATATAAATGGATAGATTTTCTTCCCCCAGACTTTCAGTCACAGATGGAGCATGTGTATATTTAAGTATAAAAATCAAAGTTACATGTGTGTGAGCGTATAGATAACTACTTGCACACACACACATGCATATAAATACTTCCTTTTTTCCTTGTGTATTTGTAACTTTCTACTGCTAGTGACCTTCCTCCACAAAAAAAAAGTTCAAACCACAGCTGCACACTGAATTCTTTCAAGTCCAAGATGGGGTTTGGAAGCACATTCCTGTTGAAAACCTCAAAAGTAACTCCCACAAATTCCTCTGCAACTACATCCTCTCCTTTCACAGATAAGAAAGGATCTCAAAATGGGAATGTAAGTACCAACTGCATGTGTATCCAACTAGGCATGTCTAGTATGTGCTTGACTGTGACAAAAACTCCAGAACAAGCGCACATCAGACTTCCAAATGGAGAGGGAGAAACATGACCTTAAAAAGAGATGACACTGTATCATCGCTAGGTTTTACCACGATATGTGTTTCGCAGTTTCAAATCTTGAACAAAAATTCTTTTTGCAAGTTCAGATGAGGATCAGCAAGTCACTGGTAACTATTTATTGCAATACTGCCATAATCCTTCTCCCTTCCAGTCTAGTAAGTAACATTCAGCCTCTGAAGCTCTTGTAAGTCAAAGAAAACAGGCTATGTGCAAGAGAAAATGCATTTCAAAATTAAATATGTATTTTTCTATAACAAGTTATGTAGTAGAAAAACTAGTAAACTAGATATGGGACAACCGAAGCAGGTAAGAAAATGCTTTCAAATGAAGTAAGGAATCAAAACAGGAAGAAATAAAAACTACTGCCAAAAACCAGAGCACTTCCAGCTTTTACTGTGAACTCCTCAGCATGAGGGAACTAAGAGGATTCAACAGGACCAAGAACAAAACTGGGAAACACAGCAACTACATAATGGAAATCACTTGCATCTCACCAGCACTATGCTATGAAGAGGACAGTCCTGCCTAACACCTCTTGAGCATGAGCAGCTTATGGAAAAAGAATGAGATATGCATATGTGAGAACACAAACATACAAAGCTAATCTTAAAATAAGCAGGACATGTCAAGTGACTGCTGCACAGCAAAGTATTGTCTGTTCAATTTAGTCTGGTCTCTAAGTGCCAAAAGGCACACAGATGCATGTAAGTATCTCTAGATCATTGAAAATATGAGCTGTGGCCTTCTAGGGAACTCATCAAGTCTCCAAGGCCTTTTGTATGCCCATGTGACACTGCAGACAAACAGCAAGATCTCAAAACCTCAGGACTGAATCACACTTTGTCCATGGTATGGTCATTCCCAGGAACCAAACTTCAAAACAAAACACAAAAAAACCCCAACCAACCCACCACCAAATTTAAAAACACCAACCATCATCCAAAACCCCCAAATTTTACTCAATTTTAAATTGAGAATTTTGGGTCATTAAAACTTCTAGAGGTTCTGCAGAGCTCATTATTTTTTAATTAGCTTCTCTACAGAAATATATCAAATAGAGAAATAAGCATTACTACAGCCTAGGCCAGAGTCAGTCTTGACTAGTTCCTTAGATGCGCAAGGACGGAAAGAAACACCAACTTGTCTCATTGCACGGAGATATAGCCAATCAACAAATTGCTACAAGGAGATCAGGGGACATGGGCCAGAAAGCTGAGTGCAGGGAAGAACACAAGGAATGACTTCTAATTATCATAAAGAAAGCTGATCTTATTTCAACATGAGTGGGGCTTGAGGGTGACCTTTGTTTCAAATATGTACAGCTGCACCAGTGGGTCATGGAGCTGGGCAAAGAGCCTTCCCTAATACCATCAGTGTCCCACTGAGCTAGCCAGACCAGCACAGGGGAGGGAGAAGAGAAGGGCAGCATGTACATGTAGCTCAGCCTAATAGAAGTATAAAAAACCAAGTAAACAACACAATGAACTTTGAAAAAAGCAATAGGCTTTTTTTGCCTGACTAATGCACATACTAAAACACACAGTGCCATTCTGGTCAGCATATGGAGACCAGTAATGGGAATCCCATTTCTACTGTGATCCAGCTGTGTCTTTCAATTGATACATCGTGCCTGTGTTGTGATTTCAGTATGCTGATGTACCACTCCGTTAAATCAAAATCCTGTGTATACATAAATTCGATATTAAACATTAAACCCTCCCTGTATGGCATATCTAAAATTATGGTCAGAGTGGCATAAACCTATTAGCATATTCTTCCACAGATGAATAACTGTATTTTCAAACAACACTTTCACACCCACCAAAGCCATATTCTTCAACAGAGTTGCTGCCTACTTTTTTTAAAAGCAAGTGGAAGAAGGTTATCATTTTTCATATGTATTTTCTCTCTTCTACTTTTAAGCAGCCATCAAAAGCACTCAGCAACAGATTGGGATAAAAGGTGATGAGATGTACTTGTCAATATTGTATTATTTCTTGCCATCTGGATTGGCTTAATAAACTGGGAAACTTAAAGTTTGGATACAAATTAGGAAATTTTTCCTCCCCAACATCTTTTAGTTGCTAGGTATCATCTAAACATGCCTCATCTACACCCAGCCAAAGTTATTAACTATGTTCTGAGACAAACCTATGTAATTCAGGCTAGAAAAAAAAAAAAGGAAGGGACCTAGGCTAAAGCCTTGAAATACCTTACCTTTGAATCATATGCTGACTGCTTTATTACTTCAGGTGCCATCCAAAATGGTGTTCCCACAAAGGTATTCCTCTTTATCTGTGTATCTGTTAGCTGTCCTGCTACTCCAAAATCTGCTAGCTTTACTTCTCCTTGTTCAGATAGCAATACATTAGCAGCTGGAATAAAGATGAGGAAATCACAGCAAATAAGACATTTGAAACCTTTTGACACTGTGTATATTCATTTATATATTCTGTGAGATTTTCTAATATTCTTTCAATACAAATAAAGGAAGAATTTACCTTTAATATCTCTGTGGATTTTCTTTTCTGAATGCAAGTAATCAAGTCCTTTGAGTATCTCCCTCAATATTGTAGCAATCTGGGTTTCATCAAGTGAGCCAGGTTCTAACTAAGAGACATAAAAAATGTTTATATATGTATTTTAAAAAGGGAGAAACAGAAAGAACAGAAATAACACTGTGACTATAAAAAGAAATTACTTCTTCTGTCACACCTCAAAACTTAATCTGCTAACTGCATAATATGAGACATAATGGGATATTCTTTTTAGAAATACATAGTTCTAAACTAAATGGCATAATGAACAGAGAGAAATAATTCTTTTATCTAAAATACTCTTTAAAGTCTGTGTGCTGGTTTGGGCTGAAATGGACTTAACTTTCTTCACAGTGTCTAGTATGGGGCTATGTTTAGGATTTGTGCTGAACACAGGGTTGATAATGCAGAGATGTTTTTGTTATTGCTGAGCAGAGCTTACACAGAGCCAAGGCCTTTGCTGTTTTCTGTACTGCCACAGTGGCAACGAAGTTGGGGGTGCAGGGGAGATTGGGAGGAGACACAGCTGGGACAGGTGACCCAAACTGACCAAAGGGATATTCCATATCATAAGATATCATGCTCAGTATATAATGAGGGAGGAAGAAGGAAGGAGGGACATTTGGAGTGATGGTGTTTGCCTTCCCAAGGAACGATTACGTGTGATGGGTCCTGCTCTCCTGGAGATGGCTGAACACCTGCCCATCCATGGGAAGCAGTGAATTATTCCTTGTTTTGCTTTGCTTGTGTGCGTGGTTTACGCTTTCTCTACTGTCTCTAGCTCAACTCATGAGCTTTTCTAGCTTTTACCCTTCTGATTCTCTCCCCATCACACTGATGGGGGAGTGTTTGAGTGGCTGCATGGTGTTCGGTAGCTGGCTGGGGTTAAACCATGACAGCTTGTTAAAGGTGTCATAAACAGAGTTCTAAGTTATTCCTTTTGGTCATGTCATAGGTATACACCCTGCCTTTGAAAAGCATCTACACTGTAATCTGATTGTTAACGTAACACTGAAATTAAATGTCAACTCCACATGCCCCATGCAGACCTAAATCTCAAAGCCTGAGCAAGAAACCAAGGCACATAAGGTACTACATCGCTCACATAATCTATGACTACATACTGCATTGGATTTTGTGAAACTCTGAAACAAACTGGTAGCCTGACAGAACATTACATATTTTAAAAAGTTAACTTTTTTCATATAAAACTGAGAGTATAAATCTGCTAATTGTTCGAATTAAAGTTGACCAACAATGTACATGCAATTGCTTTCTCTAGTGAGGTGTGATTTTCAAAACAGTCAGAGTGTATTCAAATATAGCAAACACCAAGCTAGCATGGCATATATACTTTGAACATGGAATTTAAGGTTCCCAGTGATTCTTGCCTCGAGTACAGAGACACGGCAAAGTGTACCAGTTGTCCTACCAGGTTCTAGCTGAAAACCGTAATGTGCATGTCAGAACTAGAAAAATGTGCAGCAGAACACAAACTGAAAAGGAATGAAGCACACAAAAGGTGCTTAGTATACACCTACATGTTAATTTCAGTACCGTGGTGCAACTCCTTCAAAAACATTTTAGGATGTGACTATTTCTAGGCAAAAAACTTTGTGAATAGAAACGTGTGTGATGAAAAAACCGAAAGACAAGAAAATATAACTTTTTTCTTTCTACTTTATTATACCTATACAAAGAAAGTATTAATTAATTTATAAAAGCAAACCTGGCTTCTAACTGCTTTTATATCAAGAAGAAAAAAAGCTATCATAAAAAATAAAAACTTTCTTCAGCATAATTGTATGGGGAACATTATCAGTTCTACCCAACCACAGAACTCCTCCTAACGGATGTGGAAACTAAGGGTATAAATGAGTTTGAAAATGTACAACTGCATGAAATTCACATTTAACATCCCTCCTGTCTTCTGGATGTCACCAGCACAACCTCTTTGAACCTCTCTTTTTCCTTTTGCTCTTTCCTCAAGCATTTATTAGTTGCAACATTTGAAAACTGCAAACTATACTACAGAGACATTCCACCTCAATTGCTGTAACAATTTTCACACACTTAAAACATCCACTATTATTTATATAATAGAATTTCTATAACCACAATAAACATAACAGGGTGAGTGATTTGGAAGGGGCTTGGGTGTTTTTAATAGCTAAAGCGAATGACAGCATCCATTCACAGAAAGCACAATCTGCACTGAATCTTCCAAATTCTAATTCAAAACTGGGTACTCTGTCCCAGGTGCAGAATGAGGCACTTGGTCTTGTTAAATTTCCTATGGCTGCTGATTGCCCAGACCTCTGGTCTATCCTGGGCTCTCTGCAGGGTCTCTCTACTCTCAATGGAGTCCATAGCTTCTCCAGCCTAAATTGTGTTTCTGTCTGTTTAGACTTCAGTAAAACTTCCAACAGGGAACCTTTTGTTCATTTGTTTGGGGGTGTGGGTGGTGGGGGAGATACATCTAAGTGTGTACACTAAGAAGGGTTGTGGTGGCAGAGTTAAGAGACAGAAAAAATTAGTTCCAATTGCTAGTGCTCTCTGTCTGACTGAAGATTAGCATTCTAAGATGTTTATATTCTACTTCCAATATTATGTTGCTTAGTTCCCTTCCATTTGCACAAATAATCAGTCATGCCTCATGGAAAATAACATTTTTCTGGCATTGACAAATACTTTTCTCCTTCACTGAAAGCAAATGTTGCCACAGCCAAACAACTTATAGTTTCCAGAATACAGGAAAATAATTGTGTGAGGTACAGTAACAAAAACCCCATGCATTATTTACTTACTAGATCAAGGGCAGAGCCTCCACCCAGATATTCCATTATTATCCATAATTTTGTATCCTGCAAAACAAAACAAAAAAACCAACAAAAATGTATTAAGGTTAAAAATACATAAAAAAATAAGTTAATGGGACTTGCTCATTCTTTTTCCTGAAGAAAGTATCTGTAGTTTTGAAACACCACTAACATTTAGCTGTTCCTCAACAATATCTCTGGATTCTTTACCTAAGAGTGTGTGTGTTTCCAATTTAATTACATTCCTCTAAATTGACAAGAGGAAAGCTGCTTCCCACTTACCAACTCAGACCTTGGAAGTTCATTGCTTCCAAATAACTGATGTCAGAGTTATATAATAAACTCTTGTCACACTCAAACTCACTTCATGGTACCTCTTTTTTGTCCTGATACTACCAAAATATATACAGTATCTAGGGAAAAAGAATCTTCTCTTTAATCCCTACAAAAGGCTCGCGTAGGAGCAGGAAACCTCTTGCCTTTATGCTGATTAGAACTGGCCAAGTATTCAGAGCATATTAACTCCCAAAAGTCAACAACCTCCTTGTTCTTATCACCCTTCTTTGCTTATTTTGCAAAAGTGTCTTCTGAGACAAGAAAGAGACAGACAGAAGCCACTCAATGGAAATGGGAAGAATACATTTTCATTTTAAAACTCTGACTATAGACATTCCAAATAATCATCGTGTTGCATAAAGCATATTCCTGTCCTTAGAAAATATATATTACCTTTATTTGTTCAGACAGTTCAAATTATTTTCTTTAATAAATCTGAGTCCTGTCTAGGTCCAATTTAATTTAGAATTTATTCTTCACATTTCTGCATTTTTTCATTTTCTTGAACAGCCATCTGTCTCTGACCTAAGGAACAATACCAGTACATTTTCTCCACTAATGCTTATGCAGCTGATATATGGTACAGAATTTTGAACAACTGTGTTCAAGAAATATGAAGAAAGCTAGTAATAAAGGTCATTTAAGATGACTATAGCAATTTACTAGCTTTGACTAGTAAGATAAAAGCTAACAGCATCATCAAGCTACAATATTCCTAAAGGAAAGCTTGGCACCTATTATAAGACTGTTAAACACAAGATAAACAATACCCTATGCTAAGAAAGAGACTGGACCCAATCATTTCTTTCCACACTCTGCAGCATTTTATTCCCAAATACACTGGGAGATGCAGCAAGTCCATCTTTTCCTTGCAGTACCAGTCTTGATACACATAAAGGACACAGATCTATCAGACAGATATTCAAATGAAATTGCTGCCCAGAACATATTGAGTTTTGGCTTATTTTTTTATCATTATCAAGTTATATTAAGCTATGTTAGTTTTAACTCTGTGGTATGACCCAAATTTCACAATTCTTCTAGAATAAAAACATAGATGTGTCTCAGAAAAAGGAGCACATAAACAGCAACAATATTCATTTACTTCATCCTGCAAAATAAAACTTCATGTAAAAATATCAGCTCACAGTCAGGGCACCTTAAACTCTGAATACTCATCTTTAAAGATGGATTAAAATTTTTAGAAAAAGTGATAAATATATTGCAGAACGTAACTTCTAAATCCTGAGGTATTAAAATATTAGCCCTTAGGACTCTCTTAATGGTAATTATTTCTGTAGTGTCACTGCATCTCTCCCCTCTCTGGCCTCAGAAAGCAACTTCTGTTAGGTAAATGCACATTTTACCTACCATCAGTTACAGAGATTGTACTATTTTAGGGTAAGACCCTGGATTAGAGTTCCTCCATCATCCACTATTTTTAACACAGATTCAGCTAAATTTAGATACCTTTCTTCAGGAAACAACTCATGCTATTTGACAAATACAGTCTTGTTAAAAACATTTCAAAAGAGCCAGAACACATTTTTTAGGAAGAAAGAGTAATTTAAAACTATAATCTCTCTCATAATTTACATACAACATCTTGATAATGCTTACTTCCTGCAGACACCATGGATACTCCAAGAATTGTAACTCCTCTCAAGGGAGTCCCTGGCAGTACTGAAAGACTTGCTTTGCTGCTAAGAGGTTTTCAGATTTTGCCTGTCTCTTCAGGCCTGCAGGTCCTAACAGCTCTGAAACAAAATGCTTCTGAGAAGTATCTTCTAGTAAGCCATTTCATCTTCAGAAATCTTCCTAAATGCAATCAAAATTTAATATACATAACTTGCTTCTCTCTCATAAAGTGTCTTCTAAAGCTATGTGAAAGTTCCTGAATATTCAAACTTTGCATCACCTCAAAATTTACATCTACTTCTAATGGTAACTTGAACACAAAGATGTCAACTCTATCACTAATTTTTAGTTCAGTGGAAATGCCTGAGTGAGAAAGAACAAGGTAAGACAAATTCCTTGACCCTTTCAAAAATAGGAAAAAAAACTCCAACGGAAGAAAGAGAAAACCCAAAACATCCACAACACCTCATCCAGAGGTCAACAAGAGATGCTTCTTCCCTTTTCCATTATCTCAGTTACCTTATGGATTAAAAAAGCTAACAACTTGAAATAAGATACTAATAAAAATATTTAAGAATAAAATTTTAATTACATAGTCACCCAGTCATGTAACACAATTACAAAACTGCAAGTTATATAATCCACAGTATTTTTCAATAATCATTTACTCTTTCAATTATTTTTCTAGTTTGTTTAGTCTTTTCTCCTGAAACTTTCAGCATCAGCTGCTTGAGGCCATGTGCCTGAATTCACAGTATAAAAACCATGCATCCAATAAGCACAGTAATACTGCATTTCAAAACAAGTGAAGTATGGAAATGCAGTTAAGGAAGACACACAACTCTATCTGTATCCCAGTGTGAAGCTCAGTAACAGCAATCTATTACAATCCTGTCATCTATATATCTGTGACCCTAGACTCAAAGTGATTTTTAAGTCCCTACATTTCCCCCTCTCCCTTGCCAGAGAAATATTTCTTGACTTCATTAGTGTTTTGGTTTTTTTAAAGTTTTCATCATTCATGTGAAGTATCTCAATAGATGCAATTATTACTGTACTGAATCTTACTATCACCTGCTAGAGTTATTGATTTGTTTTAGCTTATTTTAAATCTGCATACATTGCTTAACAAGATGATGCAAATAAATCCTTTTGGTGAGACAGTTGTAATCAATTTCTTAATATATATTTCATGTTAGAGACAGTAATCTATATATCCTGACTTTACACCCGTGGTGTGTTTACCCAGGCTGGATGTCAGGTGCCCACCAAAGCCTGTCACTCCCCTCCTCAGCTGCACAGGGAAAATATAGCAAAAGGCTCGTGGGTTGAGGTAAGGGCAGGGAGAGATCACTCACCAGTTACCATCATGGGCAAAATAGACTCAACTTGGAGAAATTAGTTTAATTTACTGTCAATCAAATCAGTGGGGTAATGAGAAATAAAACCAAATCTTAAATCACCTTCCCTCATCCCCTTCTTCCTGGGCTTTAATTTCACTCTCAATTTTCTCTGCCTTCTTTCCCTCAGTGGCACAGAGGGATGGGGAATGAGGATTGTGGTCAGTTCATCACACACTGTCTGCCACTCCTTCTTCCCCAGGGGGAGGACTCCTGCTCCTCCCCTGCTCCAGCACGGAGTCCCTCCCATGGGAGACAGCCCTCCACGAACTTCTCCATCACTAATCTTTTCCATGTGTTGCAACTCTCCACAAACAGCTCCAGCATGTATCCCTTCTATTCAGCGCAGCCCGTCAGGAACAGACTGCTCCAGCATGGGTCCCCTGTTGGGTCATAGGTCCTGCCAGCAAACCTACTCCAGTGTGGGCTCCTCTCTCCAAGGGCCACAGGTCCTGCCAGCAGCCTGCTCCAGCATGAGCTTCCCACAGGGTCCCAGCTTGCTTTGGGCACATCTACCTGCTCTGGTATGGGGTCCTCTTTGGGCTCATGTTGATATCTGCTGCCCTGTGGGCCTCTGTGGGCTGCACCAGGTCAGCCTGCCTCACCATGGTCCTCCCCATGGGCTGCAGGGGAATCTGTGCTCCAGTTCCTGGAACAACACCTCCCCTCCTCCGTCACTGACCTTGGTGTCTGCAGGGCTGTTATTCTCATGTATTCTCACTCCTCTCCACAGCTGCAGTTGCTGTTGTGCAGTTTTTATCCCTGTTCTTAAATCTGTTATCCCAGAGGTGCTGCTACAGTCACTTACAGGCTCAGCTTTGGCCAGCAGCAGGTCCACCTTGGGCTGGCTGGCATCAGCTCTATTGGACATGGGGAAAGTTTCTGGCAGCTTCTCACAGAAGCCACCCCTGTAGTGCCCCTGCTACCAAAGCCTGGTCACACAAACCCAATATATGCCTTGTACAAGGCAAGTAGAACACTACTATCAATTGACTTCGGCATCACCACAGCAACAGGCCTCCTTTCTTTCTTTTCTGAGTATCTCTGGCATGTTACACATTTCCTAAACACCTACTGTCACTTTCCTTTTTAAAGCTGCCCAAATTCTTATTTTGCTTGAACTTCTCACTTTCTTCTGTATCCATTCCCCACTTTTGCTCTCAAACAGAACACCTAATGCACTAACTTTTCTTCCATAGCCTAGATTAGCAATTAAGTATTACACACAACCACTTATATTTTCAGGATAATACTACATTTACATACTGACACTAGCAACATTCAGTGCTGCATTTTAAGATCTGAAATCAGAATAATTTTATTCTTATAAGCATCAGCCACAACCATTGAATATTCTTCCAAATACAGTGAAGCCATGGTGAGTCATCAATCCAAATTTAGGATTATTGTTTCTCTATAAACTTAGATGAGCACATTAATTTGGACGTGGAACATTTCCTTTTAGACAGTAGGAACAAGAGGTTTTCCTCTGATGCCATGAAACTGAGGAAAGGAACAGCTTTGGATTCTAAAATAAGCTCTGTTACAAAATCACAGAGCATCTGTAAACCCTTTCCACACTATGGTTGCTCTTCTTGAGGTCTTACTTCTAATTTTAACTCTGGAACCACACAAAAACCTTATAACAGCAGTTTTATCTCTAATGAAGCT